CCCTGCGGCTCCTCGCACTTGGAGTCAACCCGGTACCGCACCGCGTTGCTGGAGAATGCCCAGTGTATTCTCCTTGCTGGAGAATGGCGCGCGGTGGGCCAGGCACGCGCAGCGGCGAGGGCGGGGCCTGTGGGTGGGGGTGGGACCAATGGGCGAGGGGTGAGCCAATGGTCGGGGGCTAAACCAATGGGCAAGGCCTGGACCAATGGGAGAGTGCTGGACATCAATGGACGGGGGCTGAACTAATGGGTGGGGCGGGGCCAAAGGGGGGCTGAGCCAATAGAAGGGAGCGGAACCAATGGGTGTAGGGCGGGGCTGAAACAATGGGCGGGGCTGGACCAATGGGCGAGGGATGGGCCGGGGCTGAACCAATGGGCGAGGGTTGGACCAACGAGAAAAGCAGGCTTTCGCCTCGTGGAATGCTCAGGGGATAAAGGGAGTATTTCCTTTGTCCAGCTTCTACTTTGACATAATTTCTCACCTACAGAAAAGTTGCAAGAATCCCAAAAGGAGGCTGACTGGGGTGGCTCACGTCTGTTTCCCAGTGCTTCGGGAGGCCAAGGCGAGAGAATCGCTTGAGCTCAGGAGTTTGAGACCAGCCTCGGGAATAGGGAGACTACGTCTCTAGTAAAAATTGAAATTAAAATTAAGACCGGCTGGGGTGGCTTACGCCTGTAATCTCAGCACTTTGGGAGGCCAAGGCGGGCGGATCACTTGAGGTCGGAAGTTCAAGAACAGCCTGACCAACATGGAGAAACCCTGTCTCTGCTAAAAATACTAAACTAGCCAGGCGTGGTGGCGCCTGTAACCCCAGCTGCTCGGGAGGCTGAGGCAGGAGAATCGCTTGAATCCGGGAGGCGGAGGTTGCGGTGAGCCGAGATCACGCCATTGCACTCCAGCCTAGGCAAGAAGAGCGAAACTTCGTCTCAAAAAAAAATAAAATAAAATAAAAAAATAAAAACTTAGACGTGGCGGTGGTGCACACCTGTAATCCCAGCTACTCGGGAGCCTAAGGTGGAAGAATCGCTTGAACCCGGAGGCAGAGTTTGCAGTAAGCCGAGATCGCACCATTGCCCTCCAGCCTGGGCAACAAAGCGAGACTCTGCCTCAAAATAATTATAATAATAATAATTGCAGTGGTCTCAATGATGTAAAATTAAAGGTAGTGATTCATTTTCACAAAGATTGACAAGAAAGATGACAACTGGAAACTCAAGAGACCCAGAGGTGGCAAAAGAATATTGAAAAGGAATAACAGGCAGATCGCAGTGGTTCATGCCTGTAATCCTAGCACTTTGGCAGGTCGAGGCGGGTGGATCACCTGAGGTCAGGAGACCATCCTGGCCAACGTGGTGAAACCTTGTCTCTACTAAAAATATAAAAATTAGCAGGGTGCTGTGTTGTGTACCTGTAGTGCCAGCTACTTTGGAGGCTGAGGCAAGACGATCAATGGAACCCAAGAGTTTGATTGAGGCTGCAGTGAACTGTGATCTCACCACTGCACTCCACCCTGGACGACAGAGGGAGATTCTGTCTCAAAAACAAAACAAATAAACAAAAACAGCATCCTGGCCAGGCATGGTGGCTCATGCCTGTAATCCCAGCACTTTGGGAGACCAAGTCGGGCAGATTACCTGAGGTCAGGAGTTCGAGACCAGCCTGGACAACATGGTGGAACCCCGTCTCTCCTAAAAATACAAAAATCAGCTGGGCATGGTGGCGCAGGCATGTAGTCCCAGCTACTAGGGAAGCTGAGACAGGAGAATCGCTTGAACCTGGAAAGCAAAGGTTGCAGTTAGCCGACATAGCACCATTGTACTCCAGCCTGGGTGTGGCAGTCAGACTTCTCTCAAAAAAAGCTGGGCGTGGTGACAAGTGCCTGTAATCCCAGCTGCACAGGAGACTGAGGCAGGAGAATCACTTGAACCCAGGAGGTGGAGGTTGCAGTGAGCTGAGATCGTGCCACTGCACTCCAGCCTGGGTGACAGAGCAAGACTCCATCTCAAGAAGAAAAAAAAACAAGTAATTAAGTTCTGACACTTTTTTTTTTTTTTTTTTTTTTGAAAAACAGGGTCTTGCTCTGTCGCCCAGCCTGGAGTGCAGTAGCATGAGCGCAGCTCACTGCATCCTCAAACTCCCAAGCTCAAGCGATCCTTCCACCTCAGCCTCCTGAGTAGCTTGGACTACAGCGCATCACCACATCCAGTTAATTTTTTCTTGTTCCTCTTTTTTTTTTTTTTTCTGTAGACAAAGAGTCTCACTGTGTTGCCTATGCTGGTCTCAAACTCCTGGGCTCAAACGATGCTCCTGTCTCAGCTTCCCAAAGTGCTGGGATTACAAGCACGAGTCACTGTACCTGGCCAACATGGATGAACTTTGAAAGTGCTATGCTAAGGCTAGGTGAAAGAAGTCAGTCACAAGAGACCACATATTTGTTGCATGATTTCATTTATACGAAATGTGCAGAATATGCAAATCTATAAAGACAAAAAATAGATCATATTACTTAGGGCTGGGGTGATTAGCAAATTGGAGGGTGATGGCTAAAGGTTTCTTCTTGGAGTGATAAAAGGTTTTAAAACTGACTATGGTGCTGCTTGCACAACTCTGTGATTATACTAAATATCATTTAATTGTACACTTTAAATGGGAGAAATGTATGGTATGTGAATTATATTTCAATAAAGCTCTTACTAAAAAAAAAAAACAACAGTAAACTGATTGTTAACATAACATAGTTTTATGGAAAACTACAATATTTTTCCAAAGAAATTTAGAGAGAACAGTGACATAGTTTTACATTTTTGCAAATATCTTTGTTGCTGGCTTAACAGAAGACTACTGGCTGTCATATTTGCTTCTACATTCTATGTGTTACATCACTCGTCATGCAGCCTTTGTAATACTATGTAATATTTCTGCTTTTTTATTTTTTATTTTTTATTTTTTTGACACAGTCTCACTGTTGCCCAGGCTGGAGTGCAGTGGCGCCATCTCAGCTCACTGCAACCTCCGCCTCCCGGGTTCAAGTGATTCTCCCGCCTCAGCCTCACGAGTAGCTGGGATTACAGGCGCCTACCACCACACCCGGCTAATGTTTGTATTTTTAGTAGAAACGGGGTTTCACCATGTTGACCAGGCTGGTCTTGAACTACTGACCTCAGGTGATCCACCCGCCTCGGCTTCCCAAAGTGCTGGGAATACAGGCAGGAGCCACTGCGCCCGGCCCAGGTATTTTTTTTTTGTTGGCTTTCTGATGTAAGAAAGAACTGTCCCTTCTCCCGCATTGACTTATTTCCTTCAGTTTGGACTCTTATCGTAGTCAAGGTTATAATCCGTTGCTATCGCTGTTTATTTGAATATCACACTGGCTCCGCTCTGGGATAGGGTCACTGGGGGCGTCAATGAGATGCATGAGAATCGCCTTTCCACGGGCTCAGGAAACTGACAGACCCAAGGGTGCATCTCAGCAAGCGCTCCGCTTCCTGCGGGCATCCTCAGATCCTGGGGACCGTCCTGGGGTCTCAATTAAGCGCCCCCTACTCCAGCCCCTTTACGCCAAGAGCGTCCCGTCCAGCACCCCCATCCTAGCTCCGCCCCTGGACGCCGGCGTCCAATCTTGGGATGGCCCCGCCTTTTCAGTGAGTTACGTCCCCGCCCCCATGCGTTGATAGGCCAGGCCTGCGGCTCGGCGACGCGCAGGGAAGACCCGGAGGAGCGGATTTACCTGAGGAACGGGCCACGCGGTCTTGCTGCGCATGCTCGGAAGGAGCCCGCCTGGGCGTTCCGCAAGGCCGG